ATAAATGTTTAAAAAATTAAAAAAAAAAAGAAGTAAGGGTAGGGAGAGGAAAACTCTTGCCAATTAGATATTCAGAAGGAAAAAAAAATTGATTTTCTGAAAATGGAGAGTGAGCCAGTATGGGTATGGTGGGTTTGTGTTGTGGTTCTCCTTCCTTCCCACCACCCTTGGAGGGAGCTCTGTTTGGGATCTGGCTTCCTGAATTAATGAATGGCCTATCTGGGGCATTTCTTCAGAGAGGTATTAGAGAGCTCTGTGAATGTGAGATTTTCCTTAAGCCTCTAACATTACCATTGTTATACCATCAGTTGCCTTAAATGTTTTTTTCACACACCAGTATGGGGTTTGTTCCCCAGCTTGACGTTTCTGTGCCCTAGCTACTAGAGGAGCAGAGTGCAGGACGTTCCGGACCTGGTTAAAAAGTAGATCTGCAGCCGGAGCCAGTGAAGCACCGGTTTCGTAGACAGTGATGCCTTAGCTTCCTTTCTGGTTTGTAGCCTCTGCCCCTGCATATGTTGCAACGAAAAATTACTGTAACCACCCGTAAATTTAATATTTGTATGTCCCTATGGAGTTTTGTAAATTAAACTATAAGTGATTTCCTTGGTCTGTGCGATCTGATAATATTGTTCTGTCCTTACAGGAAATAGCACAAATGTTTGTGAGGGTTGGAATGTGTGAACAAGCAGTGACCGCATTTTTGAAATGTAATCAGCCAAAGGCAGCAGTAGATACCTGTGTACATCTCAACCAAGTAAGGAACTGAAAATTAAGGTCCCTAGTCATCCTTTTAGACTGTTGCCACTGTAGGGTTGAGGTGGATTTTGTGAAAGGAGCTAGATGCTTTCTTACTTTGTTGAGGACCTAGAAAATACTGGAGTTTGCATTTACCTCTTGAAGTGCTACCGTTAAGGGTGACCCACTCGTAACTAAGTCAATATGGGGACAAACCCTGTGCTTTTTAGTCAGGCAACTTGTTGTCTGGAAGTAATTTCATAATTTTCTGCATTTTATTAGGGTTTTGTTTCCAAAGAAGGACTAGTTAATGGTCATTGCAAGAGGAAGGAATTGAGTTACCTTATCAGTATTTATTTTGGCAATCTATTTTCCTGTCTCTTTAGAGAAAACATATATTTGATATTCTTGGGAGCTGGAATTTAACTAAAATTAAAGTGCAGAATTGTGGAAATTGTTAAATATCAGTATATTCCTTTAAGTGTTTTCTTGAAGTATTTTATAAAGCTCCATTTGGTTTTTAAAAATAACTTTTAAATGTTAAATCTGATAGGACATTTTCTTAACCGAAATGGCATATTTTGTTCTACTATAAGCAAGTATAGCTTTTCCTCACGTCTAGCTGGTGCAAAATTGAATTATAATATTGTAATTATAAACTTTGAAGCTTTCCTTTTCTGATGTCCTTCTTAAGCAAATCACAGTCTTGGGCCATTTAATCATTTTGACATGTTTGACTTATAGAACTTATAATTGCTCTGATTTTAATTAAAGTTACTGTAAACTGCCTGGCAGGCTCAGTCGGTAGAGCATGAGACTCTTAATTAAAGTTACTGTATTAACAAAAATATATACTGGTTTTTAATTTTAATATAGTGTTATTTATTACTATAAACTTAAATCTTTATTGTGTGAATTTTATGACATGTATGACTATAAATGCTTCAGTAGCTGAACGGCATATTTTTCCCCCTCAGTGGAACAAAGCTGTTGAGTTGGCTAAAAATCACAGTATGAAAGAAATTGGATCCCTGTTAGCGAGGTATGCATCTCATTTATTGGAAAAGAATAAAACTCTTGATGCCATAGAACTCTATCGGAAAGCCAATTACTTTTATGATGCTGCTAAACTGATGTTTAAGGTAATACAATAATCTTGGTGAGTATTTGCTATGTTCTAGTTACCAATGTTTTCTTATGTACTGAAGAACACATTTTCCATTTTCTTTGAGAACAAGTACTTGCTATAGCAAAAGCCCTCTTGTTTTATTACTGCTATAACTATGCATTATCTTAGTATTATTACCTTTTACTAAAAAAGCTATTCATTAGTGTTAGCACCTTACTGATCCCTAAACAATTGAATATTTACTTAATACTGAAGTTAACAAAGAGTTATAGAATTTTCAGGGACCATAAAATACAAATTCCCTTAATAATGGGAATTAAATCCTGTTGATAATAGAATTTTGTCCTTTTAAATGTACACATTTTAAGGGGCATCTGGGTGGCTTAGTTAAGTGTCTGACTCTTGGTTTTGGTTCAGGTCATGATCTTGTGTTTCGTGAGTTCAGGCCCCACGTGGAGCTCTTGCGCTGACAGAGCAGAGCCTGCTTAGGATTCTGTCTCCCTAGCTCTCTCTCTCTGCCCCTCCCTCACATATGCATGTGTGCACGCGAGTTCTCTCTCCTTCTCTCTCAAAATGAATTAAAAAACTTAAAAAAATAAATGTACACATTTTAAATACATTACTGTTTCATAATATGCATTTGGAAGGAAAAGGACTAATACAGTATTAATGTATATACATTTTATATTCTGTTCTATTTTTTTCCCGTTGATTTAATAAAAAAGGGAATATCCCCCTCAATCATTTAGATAAATCCTTCTTTCTGAAGTCTGTACCCTGTTAAAGTCCTCTTATCTCAGTAACTTGGAACACTGTTTTTAAAATCTCCTTATGGAAAATGCTACCTCTTCCACGAAAACTTTCTGCATTTTGACTTACTTATTTAAGAGCATTTGTTATGAGTTGTAACTCCAAGGGCTAATGCCAAGGAAAGAACTGAGTACTTATAAGCTAAGGAAAAGGAAATGGGCTTAAAAATATTTATCATAAATGGGTGGTATTTATGTTCCATCCTACTGGTTTTTTCTTTTTATTAAAGAATCAAATTTTAGAGATGATTGTATGTGTACAAATAAAGATTAAGAAATATCTTCCCCAAGTTCTTTAAATGTTTAAAGATTGCAGATGAAGAGGCAAAGAAAAGAACCAAACCTTTACGTGTCAAGAAGCTGTACGTACTGTCCGCTTTGCTTATTGAGCAGTACCATGAGCAAGTGAGAAATGCCCAAAGAGGAAAAGTGAAAGGAAAGAGCTCAGAGGTAAGGTGAAACATTACAGAACATGAAGTCATCTGAGGTGTTTAAGGAAAAAAGACTACCAAACTTCTCTTTAGGGACAGGCCATTTAATTTGTTTGTCTGCATTTATTTTCTTAAATGATATGAGGAAAAGGAGTGACTGACTTGGAATTAGTACTCAAATTTAGAAATTTCTGCTGAGGAATATTGGAAACTTTTCCTGCAAGACTAATTTGTAGACTTTGCTTTAATTTTTTTTACTTGGTAAACCCTTTCTAACCAGTGAGTTTTAAAAACCTTGCTAGAATATGTATATTACTTTATGTGTAAATGAATCTCTTACTAACTTAAAGTTTATAATGAGTTCTATTAAAAAATTTGACCACACCATGGGGAGAATTGTTTCACAGCGTGTATGTTTGTCAGATCACATCAAGGTGCACTTGAAATAATTTGCAGTTTTATTGGTCAATTATAGTTTAATAAAGCTGAAAGAAAATTTTGATTACAGCAGCTTAACAAAATACGAATTCTAATGGAGAAATGAAGTCTGTAATGACAGTTTTGTAATGATAAAATCTACTTTCCTTAGTTTAATGTATAAACCGTCTCAGAAGTTGTCTTCGTTAGGGTGACTCATAGTTGCACTGACAGAAAACGTGGCTCTGCTTGACTCATAGGCCACATCTGCTTTGGCTGGTTTGCTGGAAGAGGAAGTTCTGTCTACAACTAGTCGCTTCACAGATAATGCTTGGAGAGGGGCTGAGGCTTACCACTTCTTCACACTTGCCCAGAGGCAGCTCTATGAGGGATATGTTGACACTGCATTGAAGACAGGTGGGCCTTTGACCCAACGGGTACAATGTGTTTAACTTGAATGTGAAGAGCCAGCTCCTTCAGATTGCCCATATATTAACTTCAGTAACACTTTTATTCATGCGTTTATTTTCATGTTTGAGATTTGCTGTCTATAGTCTATTTTGCACATTCTCCTTTGTTTTGAAGTTCTTTTGATTTTTTTAAATACATACGGTTCACATTAAAGTCAGAGGTTTGAGATAAGCAAAAAGAATGTCTATAGCATTCACTATTCTTTTCATTAAAAGTTAAAGTTTTGAATATATAAAAAAGTTTGTGTTTTTTATAATATCAGGAGGATAACATATGTCCTTTTTAAAAAACATAATATGTTGTAAAATATTTCCATATTAATAGATTTCTATAGTATTTAACTTGTTTTTTTGTTAAAATGACACTGTAAAAAATAAAATGTCACTTCTGTAATGATTATAGTCAAAACAGAAAAAAATAAAATAATCTAATAACTTGTAAAATAATCTTATAACTCAGAAGTAATGATTACTGACATTTGGGCGAACTTCATTTTAGACATTTCTCCATGCCTATAAAATTGTGGACAGTTTTCCTTAAGCTAATATCATACAATATATGTTGTTCAGGGGCTTGCTTGCTTTATGCCCTCCGTTGTATATTGCAGTCATGTTTCCATGTTGGTAAACATAGATCCATGTTATCACTTGTATTAGCAAGGGGACTGTAACAGTTTTTTTTCTAATTGGTTGTTATACGTAAGAATTATTTTTATTTTTACATGTTTACAACTGATCTTTATTTAATTTTAACTGATTAATATGTGGTATAAATTATGCAGTTAGGTTTAAGATAGTTCTATTTCATATAACTTATACACAGTTTCTAAACATGAAAGATAAATTAGAATTTTAACTTGAGAGTTTTCATCTACTGGGTGAAGAAATCCAATATACAATCTATTAATTCTACAGTACATTTTATTTTATTTTATTTATTTATTTTTTTTTAAAAAATTTTTTTTTCAACGTTTATTTATTTTTGGGACAGAGAGAGACAGAGCATGAACGGGGGAGGGGCAGAGAGAGAGGGAGACACAGAATCAGAAACAGGCTCCAGGCTCTGAGCCATCAGCCCAGAGCCTGACGCGGGGCTGGAACTCACGGACCGCGAGATCGTGACCCGGCTGAAGTCAGACGCTTAACCGACTGCGCCACCCAGGCGCCCCTACAGTACATTTTAAAGAAAGATTATATCTCTAGTATAGAAAAAGTAAAAATAAGATATGGCAGCTATCAAAATAAATGTCTGAACTGACAACTTAAGAGGCACATTGTCACTTCTCTTTTCTCAAAGTTCTGTTTCATTCAGTAAGACAAAAAAATCTCTTCAAAGAGATGCAAAGAAAAAACATGATTTCGTCCTGCTTTGCTTTTTTATCAAAAAGAAACCTGATGTTATTTTGAGTATTATGACTAACAGTATAATATTAATTTACTTTTTTCTGGAATGCCACAGAAATTTCTAATATATTAACATGAAAAAAAGATGTGGGTTTTGATACCAATTTTTATTTTTATTTTGTCTTTGTGTGTGTTTCTGAATGGCAGAGCGTGCACATCATTTGATGGTGGTTGTTTTGTAGGACCTGAGCTGTTAGCTAGCGTTATAGAGCTGGGAACTCACGTAACCTGCTTCCTTCTACCAGTGCTTCGATCTCCCACCGTTATTTTAAGTTTGTAAGAGTTCATGTAGGTTAAACTAAAGCAGCTTAACATAGACTCTTTTCCATGCACGATCATACTAATGATTTCTTTTCAAAATCTAAGTTGTCCTCTTTTCTCTAGCTCTTCACCTGAGAGACTATGAAGACATCATCCCTGCCGTCGAGATCTACTCTCTGTTAGCACTCTGTGCGTGTGCCGGTAGAGCTTTTGGTACTTGTTCAAAAGCTTTTATTAAACTTGAATCTTTAGAGACCCTCAGTTCAGAGCAGAAACAGCAATATGAAGATCTTGCTTTGGAAATCTTCACCAAACATACTCCAAAAGATAATAGAAAATCTGAATTGGACAGCCTTCTTGAAGGGTAGGCTAATTGTCATTAGGATATGTTATACACCCTATTAGAAGCTGAGATTTCTATAAGTGTAGTAGTGTGATATAATAATTTAAGCACTAAATTTTGAAGTAATTTACCTTAATATTACAACCTATTTTATTTAGTCTTGTGAGTATATTAATGCTTTATTTTCTTATTTAAGAAAAGTTTTTAATCGAAAGTTGCCTTGAGATGTTTTTCATTCCTTAATTTTTTAATTGTGATAAGTAGTTTAAGTAATTAGAAGTTTTAAAGTATAATTAATTGTTTTTCCTCTTGTTTTTACAGAGGGGAAGGGAAATTGCCAACATGTGTTGCCACGGGAAGCCCAATCACAGAATATCAGTTCTGGGTGTGCAATGTGTGCAAGCACTGTGTTCTGGCTCAGGAAATCAGTAACTACAACTTCTGTCCCTTATGCCATAGTTCAGTGGGATGAAGAAATGACAGATTGTATCTAACTGTAACATACATGTAGCATGTATACATAGCTCTAACTGGATATATAATAAAACTGACTTTCATACATTTTATATAAAAATCAGCACCGTTATTTCATAGTTGTATATTTACACAAAGTTACAAATTATGTGTATAACATCTATATTATATATACATATATGTATTATGTATACATACAATTTTGTGTAAAAATACAACTATGAAATAATCATGCTGATTTTCATATAAAATGTATGGAAATCAGCCTTATTTCCTACCTGCCTATATCTATCTGTCTATAAATTATGGTTACATAATACTATGAAAAAATTCCAAATAAGAAATTTTTCTCACAGTTTCAAGGTTACTAATTCATTAAGAAACCTTGGCAGGGGGCAGGTGGGGGAAGCATGGGAGTGGGGCAAAGTTGAATTTAGGGAGTTGACATAACCTGTATTAGAAGAATGTTAAACAATTGTGATACTAAAATTAGCTCTATTGCTAGCTGTATTTAATTAAATAAGTATTGAATGTCTTCTGTATTTTATTTTCAGAAATGAGAAGACACTTAAAGATATTTTTTATAATTTGAATTGTTTCTAATAGCCTTATTTTTTTATATAGTTTTTCCTTTTTTATCTACCCTTTTAGCCTCATCTGAAAGATGGCATTTGGCATTACTCTTTATATTGTGCAGAAAAATTGGCTGTATTTATAATGATATAAATTTATACAAAAACATCCATTTTATAGTTATAGTTTTATTTGAAACATTGTCTCCAAGCAGGGCCCTTCATTTAAACAGCTCTGGGGCTGTGGGCAATGATCCTTTCTTAATAATGTGTCTGTTTTATCATTAATTTAAAAAGAAAAACTTGCAAGCATTACAATGGGTAATTGCTTACCTGTTTTATATAGCTAGAAGTGTTCTCCACTTCTTTCTCATGAATTTATGTCCTTTCATTTTGTGGCTGCAGGCCAGACTCTAGCACTGTTTCATCACAGTTATTTGCTCAAGTTTGGCTCATGTTTAGTAGAGGCAATAAATAAAGAGAAATATGCCACGCTACTATTGCAGCTATAATACTTAGGTTAGTTACCACAATGTCTGAAAACAACCATTATACCTTGTAGACCTAGTTATCACATATGTCTACATGTGTATACATACATATATACATACATGTGTAAACACATACATATATATAGAGAGAGAGACATATCTTTTCTACTATTGTAAAATCTTATGCCTGTTTGGGATTTATATCTCGGAAAGTTTTAGTGATCTTCCATAATGTCTTAAGGACCTTTGTTTTGGATAAAAATAGTACTAGAGACTAAAGACCCACAGTATGAACTGACTTAATTTGGTTTATTCAGCATGAAGGAAATTTCAGAATAACAACACCAAAAAACTCTCCCCTGATGAAAGGAGCAAAGAGAAGCAAAATTGTCTATATGTAACAAGTACTTGGAGAGAAGTTGGACAGAATGAAGCATATAATGAAAACAGTATAATGAAGCAGTTATATTGTTTCTCTTCCTGTAATAAGCATGTACTGACTCCATTTAATTAATGCTGTTGTTTTTTATCATAAAACTTGGCCTGAATTATGTGAGGTTTCAAAGTATAATTGTATTACATTTCAAAGTTTGAAAATACTTTGGTAGGCCAAAGTATTGAGATGATGGGACCAACTGATAAAATTTATGGTGATAAGCAATGTGCTTAACAAGCAACAAAGATTGTTGACCTGCTATCATGCCACAAATGCTAATTTTATTACACACTTTTTTTGTTTTTTTGTTTTTGTTTTTTTTGCTAAATACACTTTGAAATGATCTTTTTGTATTCCAAGAGCTGAGATTTTAGGTTTTACATGGCATTAAAAAAAAAAAAGGAAAGACTAAATATTGACTTGTATTTATTCCTAGTTTCCTCTATGTATAACTTAAGGGTAACGTGGTATTTGTTTTGTTTTGATTTAAATTTTTCAGTGGGGGTTGTTTAGGAGGGTGTTGGGCTCCAGAGTGGATAAGAGGAGAAAGGGACAGGAGGTACAATAGATGTAGAATATCATTTTTACTACCAAACAGAAAAAACAACTTTGACAGGTACTAGGCAAATGTCCGATGATTGGAGGTTGCAGTGAATTACTCTAGAGGTCATATAGAGTTCTCATTTAGAAATGGGGGAAATTTTTACCAGATTTTTAAGAGAAAATCAGAAGTACTTATTTGATAATTTTATAGCTCTAAGATATTGCTACTGAGTTTCTAAAATGAAAATGACAATATTATGTTGCCCCCTACTGTCTATTCTTAGGATTAATTCATTTTTAAAAATAAATTAATGCTTTTTTTAAAAAAATAAACATATTTTTAGAAAAGTAACATATATCCCTGGTAGAAAACTACAAAAATACATAAAGGGTATTTATGAGAGATGGGAAATGAAAATGGTCTTAATAACCTCTTTAAAATTAGAGGCATTAATTTATATTTTAGTTGAATTTAGAAGAAAAAACGGGGAAACTGAAGAAATCACTGTATTGTAAGTTTTCTTCATAATAAGAACTACTTGTTCTTAAGAAATTTCTCTAAAATTAAGAGAAAAAGTAGCCATTAAGAGGCTTGGAGTTAATATTTTATGTAACTACTAATTATTTGGCATAGCTTGTATTTCTAGTAAGTAAAATTTAGAGAAAAATGAGATACCTCTCACAGATACCATAATAGCCAAAATTAAAACTGCCAAGTATTGGTCAGGATATGGAACAACTGAAACCCCTATATATTGCTGGTGCAAATGCAAAATAATACACTCATTTGGGAAGAGTTGAGTTTCCAAAGTTCTCTATATTAATTTTGGGGGGGAAATATGTATGTGTATGTGTGTATGCATGTATACATATGTATTTGTGTGTGTGTATATATATTTTTAACTGGTCCAGTCAATGAAAGTGAAGCTTTACTGAGGCCCCAGGATCATAGGGTCAGGCAAGAGGCTGCCCTGTAGGGGAAGGAGGAGCCCATTGAGGGACCTTATTTGACTTTTCTTCTCAGGGCTTGGGTTGTTGGTGTGGCCATACTTTTTTCAACAGTTGACAGTATGAAGTTGCAGGGGAACATAACACATTCAGCAGATTATCATGTTGCAGTTGTATTTCTGGGTGAGGAGGCTCGTTGATGCCACCCCACAAGCAAAGCACCACATGCAGGTGGACTCTGTGGAAGACGGACTTGAGCGTCAGAGAGGGACAGCAACTGAGCCTAGCGCCAGCAATGAAATTACAGGGCAGGCCCTCCAGTGTCATGTAGACCAGAGCTTCTCAAGTGTGACAGAGACACCAACTCAGAATCTTGTGTGTCCTATCAGTAGATGGACACATCAGCCCAGCATCTCTCACAGAACATGATTTGCAGATATTTTCTCCCATTCTCTGGGTTTTTTTTACTCTGTATAGTCTTTTAATGCACAAAAGTTTTAAATTTTCATTAAGTCCAATTTATGTTTTGTCTTTGGGGTCACATCCAAGAAGTTGCCAAATCCAGTGTCACAAAGCTTTTGCTTTATATTTTCTTCTAAACATTTTATATTTTAGCTCTTACGTTTAGGTTTTTAATCCATTTGGAGTTAATTTTTTTATATGGCGTTTCAGTCCAACTTCATTCTTTTGCATGTGGATATCCAGTTTTTTCAGCAACATTTATTGAAAAGGCTGTCTTTATGCTAATACCACAGTGTTTTGATTACTATAACTTTGTAGCTGAGTTTTGAAAACAGGATGTGAGTACTCCGACTTTGTTATTTTCAAGATTGTTTTTGGCTATTTGGGATCCCTTGAAATCTCGTTATTAATCTTAGGATGGATTTTTTCTATTTCTACAAAAGTATCATCGGCATTTTGAAATGGATTCCATTGTATCTGTAGGTCCTTTTAACTTGAACATGGGATGTCCTTCCATTTATTTATGTGAAATTTCTTTCAGCAGTGTTTTATAGTTTACATTGGACAAGTCTTTCACTTCTTGGTTAATTCCTAAATATTTTATCCATTTTTGATGCCATTATAAATGGAACTGTTTTCTTAGTCTCCTCTCTGGAGTGTTCACTTTACATAATTCTTACTTGAACTAAACATTTACTGTACTTAATCAATTACAATCTGGGTTTCCCTTTGGCATCAACAGCCAGAGAATGTAAACTAACATAACAGACCAAATTTTTAGCACAACATATTACTTAATGAATTCTTACACTATTCCACAGATATAAGAAGTTTGCAATCTAGGATCTTGGAGCTAATAAATGGTAGTTTGAATTCGGACACCTTCTCGACAGTGTGTCCGAATGGCCGCAGCCTATTCAGATCATCCTCTACCGGGTGTTTGGCTGAGAGTGGTCGCTGGAACCCCAAAGGCGTGCTACAATAAATCTGCTGGCCAATTAGCCATTCGTAAAGCAAACCAAGGTTTCTTCTGCTTCCGGCACAGTGAGGCTCTCTCCCCCCATAACTCGCTGTAACAAAGGACAAGCTCCTCGCAACATAAGTCTACGGATTTGGAAACCAGTTTGGAACCATCCGTCTACTGCTTTCTAGAAAAAGAGGCAGGCAGGACCAGCAGTAACACCAGAACCGCACTTCACCGCAGTCGGTCCGAACTTTACCGGTACGACTGAGCTCCCCGCTATCACCGGGTCATCGATCTCGCGAGATGATGGGTCCTCGAAAGGCACAAACTTCCCCCTTTGCGAGCGCCAAGGTTTTGCTGTCAAATTCCGGGAGTGCGGAAGTGGCCCCGTGGTGCTGCCTCTAACCGTTCAGAAGTCAACTCCTTTTCTACACGAAAAGCTAGGCCTCAGACCGCTATGGATGGGCAGCAAGGGCAACCAAGCCAAGCATCGCTGGCACTCGCCCAAGCTCACTTCAACAAGGGCGAATACGCGGAAGCCGAGACGCTGTACTCCGCTTACATTCGCCAGTGCGCCTGTGCAGGCTCCGAGGGAGCTGCGCCCGGGAGGTAACTATCGCGAGAGGTGGGGTAGCTGCACCTCGGGGAGGTGCGAAGCAGGGGTCGTCAAAGCCCGGCGCTCAGCCGCCTGACTTTGGGGTACCGAGGATGCTGGGGGCGGATGCTTGCCTTTTCAGAAGGGCAGCAAGGGTCGCGTTCTTCTGGGACACCCGGGGCACCCGCTGCCTTCTCCCCCCGCCGCTGGGAGTTCTGTGTTACTCACTCTGACCCAGAGCGGCAGCTACGCTTTTCCGCCTGTCATTTTAACAGGCGGATATTGGAGACCTTGTGATGGCGATTGGACACGACTGGGTAGTGCCACGCGAGTACGTGGGACTGCGACTCCAACCGCCACATCCCAGCGAGGGTGTTTCCTTTTTCACTTGTGTGTGTGTGTGTTGCGGGGGGGGGGGGTGTTGGAGATCACTCGGCCTAAATATTATTTCATCCACACATCATTCATCCATCGATATTTCAAAATGCATTTCTAAATATTAAGGGTTCTTAAACAACCATAATATCATTATTGTCACAAAATTCCTTAATGTGAAATACACAGTTAGTGTTGTGTCCTGATTAATAACGTCTGTTGTTTGTTTGTTTGATTTCTTGGTTGGTTTGTTTTTTATAGCATTTGGTTCAAGTCAGGATGCACCAGGTCTCTTAATCTATAAGGCTCCTCTTCTTTTTTTTCCCTCGAAGTCTGTCGAGGAAGCCATTGTGTGTTTTGAGTGTTTACTGAATTCATCTCCCTGATGTCTCCTGCACTGTTTGTGAGTTGGCATTTAAATCCCGAGGCTCGATCCAATTCAGATCCTGTATTATGGCAAGACTATGTCACAGGTGGTGGTGTGGACTTCTGTCAGAAAGCATATAATGTTTTTCTTTTTGTGATGTTACCATCCTCACCTGCTAATACCTGCTTGCCCCAAATACTTTGGGTTTATACCTGGATGTGTAGCATTTGTTGTTATTCCAAATTTTGTCTGTGTTCTTATTGATGGAGTGGGGTGGACGAGGATGAGAAAAGAAAGAACACAGACGGGTGGAATGAACAGCTTTTTGCCAGTTTTGTGTCTTCTGCACCATCACTCGTCTCTCCCTTCAGGGATTTGGTTTTTCTTGACAGGATGCCAGTTTGTTTTTTGAATGAGCCTTATGATTCTTCTCCAGGTTGTTAAACTCATATGGAATGAAACCAGAAAAAATGAATTTGCTTTCTTGTTTTGATAACACACCAAGGTAATAGTTAATAGAAATTTCTGAACAGGCAGGAAGACAGTAGCACCATTCCCTGAGCTCCCCCGACCCCGCCAGCCAAGGAAAAAAAAAAAAGATTAGTAAACATAGAAAATGTAGTTTTCTATCATTGTTTCAAGCTCAAAGAATAGACTTACCTAGTAGGTTTCAAAAAGTACTCATCAGCAACAGAAATATTGGGCCATCTAGTCTCCTTGGCAAATCCAACCTGAAAAGCACTGACTATGTTTGTAGCAAATGTAGTATCTGCGTCTTAATGAGGGCAGGACAGAACATCTGCCAACATTTGGTAGAAGGTGGTCAGCGTGCCTGAATGAACCTTATTTCCTTACAGTTCTGAAAATCTTCTAGGATCTCATGAATTTACAATGAATTCTGTCATTTCAGATTTTTTCCATCAAATATATCTTTTAGCTTCAATTTATTTTTTAAAATAATAGGTCACTGAACCATTTTGAAAAAGTATTTGCAATTTTTGCATTCCTGTCACTCTGAATGGTTTACAACATTTTGTTTTCATATCCCAAAGTGCAGTGTTAGCCATAAACCTAACTTCCAAATGTATTATTATTATTATTATTTATTTTTTTATTTTTGCTAAAGTGTGCAAATGCAAAAAATCCACATTTGTGTTAGGTAATTAAATTCTAGTATGATAAATACTATCATTACTAAAATCTCAATATTGTGAAAATAAATTTCGGCTTTAACTGTTAGCCCGTGTGTTTAAAATATGAAGCAATTTCCACATGAAAAGTACATTTTTGGAATTTGTTGTAATGAGATCTAATTCTGAACCAAACATTTTACGGACCTCTGAATATAAGAAATTTGTAACAAAGTTTTAAAGCTTAAAAATGGAATGACTAAAACCTTCCTGGAGTCCTGAGGCTGCATTTTTAAAAAGAAACCCTTTACTGGGCGGCAGTTCACTGAGTATCGTAACAGAGATAGTTGTAGGGAGCGTGCCCTCCTGTTCCCCAGGTTTCCAGAGTATTCTCGCACTCAGTCTCTGTCATAGTTCACGGAAACAGAAGTTTTCTCATGTTGCAGTGTTTCTGTCCATAGTTAGTGAATTTAGACTTTGAAGGAGACCCCCGTGAGGACCTCTGGTGGAAGCCGTGGTTGCATGCCTGTCAGATCTCAAGGATCTCGATATTAAGAGAATGTCACTTTTAATATCACTGACTGCAGTCACAGTGTTTTCTGAGGACTGTACTTTGCACCGTGGGGCATCACAAGGAAATGAGAGCTGAGTGTACCCTGTGCCTTTTCTATTTGGCTCAAATTTGAGAATTCCCTTGGAAAAAAAGAAAGGAAAACAGAATTGTCTCGGACACGGAGCAGCGTCCATTAATGTTCTCTGTGCAAGTGACTCCTCTGGCAGGGGAGGGGTGACCCGCTGAGTTGGTGGCTGGTCTGGCTGCCTCGGCTAAGCCCTTAAAGAAAGTCTGCTCACTCAGAGCCCCTTGGGCAGCCTCTGGAGGCTTCAGAAGCAGAGCCGATTCTGCACACAGGACCCCCAGAGCTCTGGGGGCTGACGCCCTCCTAGCAGAAGGCCCGTGTGGCTTTGGGGGCGATCCCACCTAAGATGGGAGGGAAGGCAGCTTTGTCCTGAGAAGCCCTCCCTGGGGGACAGCATACTGAATCTCCGGTCAGGGTCAACGTGTATTTCTTTATTGGTGAAAAATGATTAGAAATCTCATTTTTGGGGGGATCACTTAAAAATTTGAGAGTAACACTGATGATTCAATCTGCCGTATGTCTGTTGCAGACTGGAACTTTAGGCTGGCTTTTCCTCCTTGCTCAGCATGTCGTCTTTGCCCTGCTGGTATGTGCTGAGAAAATGAACAACGATTTTAATATTACATTCTGCAAAACAAGTAGTCAGTGAACAGGGTCTCTGAACATACTATGAAATTAATGTGTTTTTTCAGACTGACCGGGTAGCGCTACCTCCCTACAACGTAGATAACGGGATTAAACAAAAACTGATTCCACTGCTTTATTTCTTCGCATTTCCTTTCTTCAGCGTGGTGTTCCAGTTTAGATACTGCATGTTATAGGCGATGAAGTTTGACAATACCCAAAAGAGAGTGAAAGTGGAAGCGGGAGGCATTTGGTAACACACGTTTTTAATGCGAACTTTTTGTTTAAAGCAAATGCAGCCCCGAGGACTTGGCTACTGCGTATAACAACAGGGGGCAAATCAAGTACTTGAGGGTTGATTTTTATGAAGCCATGGATGACTACACATCTGCCATACGAGTCCAGCCCACGTTCGAAGTTCCGTATTACAACAGAGGGTTGATATTGTATAGGCTGGGTAAGAATTTTTTCCCCCTTTTGTCTTTGACTGTATTCTGTGAGTTCAGAGCTCTCAGATGTTGTGAAACTAATGTAGTAAACACCAAGTCTCCAATTTATGTTAAAATTGAGGCTTAGGGCCTGGAACAAAGAAAGCTTTTATTCTGGGCTTTTGGTGGGCTTTACAGACCGCAGTGGAGCCCTGGGGTGGGGATTGGACCTAGGCCGGTGAGGGTGAGCCTGTCACTGGGCGCCTGTGCCTTCCCAACTGCTACTTGAGGGCAGTGCTGACGGCCACCTGGGAAACTTGTCTGAGTTAAAATCTATTTTTTTTTTAATGTTTATTTATTTTTGAGAGAGAGAGAGAGAGTGCAAGTGACGCAGGGGCAGAGAGGAGGGGACAGAGGATCCAAAGCAGGCTGTGCGCCACGGACAGCAGAGCCCGATGTGGGGCTCGAACTGGTGAACTGTGAGATCATGATCTGAGGTGACACTCAATCGACTGAGCCTCTGAGTTAAAGTCTTTAAAGGCACCTGAGACAATATAAAGTGAAAGGGTTTTAGATCCTTGCATTAATGGGACTGTAGGTACTGTTTCTCTTTTAAAGTGTTAAAAAGAATACGAATTTCCTGTTTTTAATTTTACTGTCATTGTGTAAAATCGGTGTTAGGATTTTGTTGAGATTTTATGATGATTTATGCTATAAATAAATAAACCCAGAGCTAATTTTAAGTGTTGATTTAAATTGAATTTAAAATTTTAATTTTAATGATGGCATAAGGGCATGCAAAATTACTTTGATATACACATGTGTATGTCATTACTAAGAGAAAAACAATCCTTTACTAGGAGTGGTTGAAAGCTCGTAAATATAAAAGCCAAAGTGTGTGTTCTCTGAACTCTGCTATGAATAATGTATAGAAATACTCAGTTTTATTACTCTTTTTCATTTTTTGCGTTCTGGTACAGGATACTTTGATGATGCTTTGGAAGATTTCAAGAAGGTATTAGACTTAAATCCTGGATTCCAAGATGCTACCTTGAGCTTAAAACAGACTATTCTAGACAAAGAAGAAAAACAAAGAAGAATTAATGAAAAAAATTATTGAAAGTTTTAGCATAATTGAAATATTAACTCATGATCCTTATACCTGGCATCTCGTTGCTTGTAATGTCAAGTTAGGTGTTGAGCTATTTCGATTTATATTTAAGGTAGAGATTCATTATTAGCACCGAAAGTTAAGTGATGTATTTAAAGTAGTTAATTTCAGATTGAGTAACTATGTTGAATAAGTTGCTTTTTATAAAGTGTAAATAAATAATACCAAGGTATAGTGTGTTATTACAGTAAAATATTTAAAGAAGAGTGTGGCATTTTCTTCAGTAAAACTATATTTTTTGTTGTTTTCTATTCTCAACTTTGTATTTAAAAAATTTGGCATCTACAGAAAAGTTGAAGTACAATACAACGAACATCTATAAACTCTTCACTTGTTGTTACCATTGGACCACATTTGCTTTCTCTCTGTATTTAAACATATAAATTTTGCTGAACCATTTGAAAAGAAGTTGCAGATATCCCAATACTTTACCCCTAAATGTTTCAGTCTGCAGCTTCTAAGAATCGAGACATCCTCCACTGCAGCTGCAATACCATTATAGTACCTCATAAAATTAATAATTCTATAATATCGTCCATACCCAGCCCATGTTCGAATTTACCTGATTGCTTCCACCGTGTCTCACGTAGCTTTTTTTTTTTTTTTTTTTTTTTTAATTTTTTTTTTTAACGTTTATTTATTTTTGAGACAGAGACAGAGCATGAACGGGGGAGGGTCAGAGAGAGAGGGAGACACAGAATCGGAAGCAGGCTCCAGGCTCTGAGCCATCAGCCCAGAGCCCGACGCGGGGCTCGAACTCACGGACCGTGAGATCGTGACCTGAGCCGAAGTCGGACGCTCAACCGACTGAGCCACCCAGGCACCCCTCTCACGTAGCTTTTTATTTCTGGACCTGGAATGAATCAAGTTACGTTGCCTTTTGTTGTTGTATCTCTTTGAGTTCTTCTAATCTAGAATAGTTCCCTGCCATTTTTTCCCCGTGGCATTCACCTGGCGAGCAAAGCTTTTTTTTTTTTTTTTTTTTTTCAACGTTTATTTATTTTTGGGACAGAGAGAGACAGAGCATGAACGGGGGAGGGGCAGAGAGAGAGGGAGACACAGAATCGGAAACAGGCTCCAGGCTCCGAGCCATCAGCCCAGAGCCCGACGCGGGGCTCGAACTCACGGACCGCGAGATCGTGACTTGGCTGAAGTCGGACGCTTAACCGACTGCGCCACCCAGGCGCCCCTACGAGCAAAGCTTTTTTATACAGCTAAGCTAAAGAGATGCCACATTGGGACTTAAAACCAAACATGTTCTACATGCGAACAATTTGAAACCAGTCTAGATTTTCTCCAGAAATCACTGATAAGATAGGTTGATATTTAAATACGTAAGTCTTCTGTCTCTGGATAATGACAGGAGTTATCGTCATCAACATTTATTGACTACTCACTACAAGCCAAGTACTCTTCAGACTCTGTGTAATGAATTAGGAATTGGAAGGGAGTGGATAGAGAGGTGAGGAACTGAGAAAAGCACTTCATAAACATAAGGCTTAAAAAAAATCTGATTTAGGGGCGCCTGGGTGGCGCAGTCGGTTGGGCGTCCGGCTTCAGCCAGGTCACGATCTCGCAGTCCGTGAGTTCGAGCCCCGCGTCGGGCTCTGGGCTGATGGCTCAGAGCCTGGAGCCTGTTTCTGATTCTATGTCTCCCTCTCTCTGCCCCTCCCCTGTTCATGCTCTGTCTCTCTCTGTCCCAAAAATAAATAAACATTGAAAAAAAAAATTAAAAAAAAAATCTGATTTATTTGGGTGCTGTCAATAAACAGGCTGATAAAGCTGTCTAGAATGGGCAAGAAGGGGGAGACAAGACAATGCCGTATCTCCTCTACGTTTTTTGTTTGTTTTTATTGTTGAGGTTTGACTTTCAAAGATCCATATCCTCCAGCTTGGGATCGCCCACACTGTTTCACTGTTGCCGTGGGAAAAACCGTTTTGGGGTGGCAGTGACCCTTGGGAGGAGAAAGGCCAGGGCATTTGCCCGGTGGCTTTCGAGGAAGATGTGCTGTTAGTTCTCCGGCCGGCCCAGAGGCAAGCACCGGATCGGCCTTAAAGGGTTGTTTCGAGTTCAAGAGGTCTCGTGAAGCAGAAGAAGTCATTGCCCAGCTTGTAGTTCATAAACAATATCTGACAAAATACACGGAGAATTTGGGCTGCAGGTGAAGGCGTATTTTTGAAAAGAAGTTTGAAAGGAAACTGAAAGTATCCATATCTCTGGAATTCTTCACATTTTCCAGCGTGGCTTCTCTTTCCATTTGTTGGAAATGTCTTTAAAACAATTTGTAAAGTTGCATTAAAATGTGAAAAAAAAAATCTCTCTTAAAACTTTTATTTAAAAAGCAAAGTCCGTAGGCCTTGGGAGAACTTCAAGCCCTTCTATCCAGAATATCAAATATTTATATAACGCTCCAGTAACTTTGTTTTCTCTTGGCTTCTATTCTCTTTTCCCTACTGTTGACTGGGGTCAGAAGTAATATGAAAAACAAAAACCAATCCCCCCCCCCCACCCCGCCCAACTCCGTAAAAGAATTTATTTGGTTTTTTAGATTCAACATTTCTTCATCCTTTATCGGAAGAAAAGAAAATCACTGAAGGTCTGAATCAGCACTTGCTAATTAGAACCCAGGCACGGCTTTTTCTCTTGTTACTGGAAATAACTGAAGAATAATGTATTTTTATCACTTCAAAACTTCAGGCATTATGCATCCAGATTGTAAATTTCTGATTGACTAAATAATACCTTTGCTATGTGCCTTAAAGATATTCTTTTTTGTATGCTATTACTCAGATTTCTCGTATTTTAGTATTTCTACTAGAAAAGTACCCAAACGATGTGATTTTCCAGTTTTTCTCTCTGCAAAAACAAGGCAGAAAATTGTGATATGTTACAAAGTACGGTAAGATAGAATAAATGGACGTAAGTTACTTTTGAGCTTAGAAAATAACTCTTCCACCAGTTGAAAGCGGGGAACTATTTATTTTTGCTGAAATCTAGAACCGAATGAAGCCTGAGGACTTAACTTTCCGACAACAAACTACAGTCTGCTAGTGGAACAGCAAACTAAATTTCCAGGTCAGCTTTTAATCATTATCTCTTTGCCCTCTCCTGGCTCTTCTCTGGTGTTTCCTTCTTTCACTGGCCTCTCTACCCTTCCCCCACTCAACATAAATCTTGGCCCCCTGTCACCGTCCAGGTCTTAAGTCTCTTCTCAGTGGGTGTGATAGATGTCAACCTGCCTTCAGGGCAAATCAATTTGGCATTTACACTGATCTTCATCTCAGTACCAAGTCTAATCCCCCTTAAAATTTTAACTCAGTTTCAAGTAATTAATTAAGCCTCTTTCTTGCTTAACAGCGTTTATTTGTCCCTGAAAATGTTTCTAGTTGAAAAGCTATTATAAAAAAAAAAATCCATTCCATTAAGTTTAACTGGAAAAATGATGAATTCCATTTTAGCCCAAGATACCCAAATAGTTTTCACAGGTAGAAAAATATATTAATTGAGCAATGAAGACAAGTTTATATAAGTAATAGGAATTTGAAATCACATAATTACATTTACAACAATTACATCAAGTGTTACGTCATGAATGTTGACTTATACTCATTTTTTTCTTCCTGTACTATTAAAAGCTTTATTGAGACATAACTCACATAGCATACAATTCACCCCCTTAAAGTGTACAATTCAATGTTTTTTTTTTTTTTTTTTTTTTTTGAATATATTCCGTTTCTGTCCCGCTTTTAAAAGCAAGTTTTCAGCATTTTTGGGTTTCATTGTCCTCTTGTAAACTGCACTTACTGAAGTTATAACAGAAAAACACTTTTGGGCAAATGAAGGGCTAAACAGTACCTAAGAGCTTACACACAAAACAGATGGGGAGTCCTGAAGGATCGTCTCATCCCCTAAGTAGCACAATGCCAACTGAGTACATGGGAGGCTGTGGCTCTGCCCGAAGCTGACATCGGAATTTCACTTCTGCAGCACATTTACCGTGTTTGAGTGAACAGGTTGTTATTTTTAAAAAGTGCTGACAAACACATGGTATAACGTTTCAAGACCCTAGTGAAAAGCCAACAGTCGCTACATGAGCTAAGTGTGTTATTATAACAGCTTCTAGATGAATTCATGTTTTGGTGTTTTCCATACTTCTCAAAAATGTGACAATAAATTATGGGAAAGGGATTCCAGTTAAAATGGCATTTGGTCAGAGACAGAGAGATTTGTTGAATTTCACATCTGATGTCAGAGGGCTTAAAAACAAACAAACGCCATTACATTCTTTACAAAAAGGAAAGAAGATGAGAAATACAATTGTGTTTTTTTGAGAAGCAAAGCAATTGGTAACATTTAAAAACACAGTTTGTATCTTTTAAAATCACAAGCAGATGAAAGGACACATCCAAAAGGCAAATGATAAAGATGTAGCAAAAGACAAATGATAAAAGAAACCCAAAAGGGAAGCCCACAAAGAAATTCTGACCTGAGAATACGCATAAACAGAGTGAACTCAGAGCACAGCAGTATCCTCCCAGGTTTGTGTGTCTGTCAGCATATAATCTCACGTGCAACAACACAATGAAGGAGGTCTTGTTTTTCATAAAGGGTGAAGCTGGGGCTGAGAAATTCAGTAACTTGCTCAAAATGATGTTCCAAAATCCATGTAAACATTCGAAACTGCAGTTAGTTATCAACTGATTTTTGTTGCTAGCATCAACTCAAAGCAGACATGAGAATTTTTTTCTTTGTTTTTTTTTTTTTTTTTTTTTTTTTTTTTTTTTTTTTTTTTTTTTTTTTTTTGCCTGCTACAAAATTTAAATCGCTGGTAAATTGTTTTAGTGTCCATCAAGGTGAGTACCAAACCAATATTAACATTGGTTTTTACAATGGAACATTACTGCAATTCTAGAGTTCCTTGTTGGTAATTTTCCTTCTTGATTGAAAACAGACACAAAAGATGGTGAAAAGCAGATTAATATTATGAGCAAACTGCATTTGGAAAATGGAAAGCCACAGCTGCCAATATGTAAATTTGTATCTTATGTTAAGAAAAAGTATCCAACATCTATAAATAAGGCAAAAGGAAGATTGCATGTCCTTTCAATA